TGCTCAATCGCTGCTCTTCACACTATGTTACTCTTGACAACTATATTCAACCAGGTCTTCACACTTGTGTTGCTCTTGATATCTATATTCAACCAGGAAGGACATTGTTGCATGTGCTTGCAATCTTAGCGTTGGTGACTATTTTTTGCACACTACAAGAAAAATCAAAATTACCGACGGACAAAATCCGTCGAAAATATTTTTATTATTTATTTATTTATTATAACCTATTTTTCTAGAGACACCCCTCCCCTTTCTTTATATGCGGTTCTTGTGATTCAACGAGAAGGACATTGTGTTCAATCTTAGCGTTGGTCACTATTGTTTGCACACTACAAGAAAAATTCTTTCTTTATATGTGGTTCTTGTGATTCAACGAGGAGGCGTTGGTCACTATTATTTGCACACTACAAGAAAAATCAAAATTATCGACGGACAAAATTCGTCAAAAATATTTTCATTATTTATTTTCCTCTTTTATATTGTTTGCACACTACAAGAAAAATCAAAATTACCGACGGATAAAATCCGTTGAAAATATTTTTATTATTTATTTCCCCTCTTTTATATTTTTAGAAATTTGAATTATAATTTAGATTAAGAAAATTGTCACTCATAATGATTTGAACCCAGTACCTTAGAGTTGGAGACTGATACTCCAACCATTAAGCTACCAAAATTTTTCGATTATAATTTACAATAAATTATATTTATATACAAATAAATGTATATCCATGTATTTATATATTTATATATTCATATATTTTTATTTTTATATATTTGTATATTTATATATTTTTATATTTATCTATTTGTATATTAATATATTTATATATTTATATATTTATTTTTTAAAATTATTTAATTTAATCTAATTATGATTAAATTAATTTGTTAAATAGAAAAAGTATTTAATTTTTTAATTAGGTGAATAATTAATTTATTAGAATATATTTAAAGTTAAGTAATTATTATATAATTTTACCGATGGATATCCGACTGATTTACCAATAGATATATTCGTCGGTAACTAATTATTAATTTACCGATCGGATATATCCTTCTCCACAAATACTTTATATCCGTCGGTAATAACTAATTTTCTGACGGCTACAAATCCGTTAATAAAAATCCGTCGGAAATAAGCGATTTTCTTGTAGTGACATTGAAATCGTGACAACATGCACAATTTCTATATGCAACGGTGAGAGAAAATCGTCACAACAGGGACGATTCTTCTTTGAAAATCGTCACAACTCCCACTACTTCAACATATTTGTTTAACTACTAAAGTCGTTTTTGCATGCACGATTTTGTAACATTTTTTATTTCAACACGCGTTAATTGCATGTTATATAGACATGAATAATCAATAGTTCACTACAATTTTAGCTCAGATCAATAGACACGGATGAATAATTGTAAGAGCACTTCAAAGGCCTATGTAAATAGTTCAATATTTCATTTAAATCAATTCATTATACTTTTTTATTTCTAAGTTTAAGTTTATAAAGGCAGATTTAAGTATATTTTATTTAAAATTTTTAGTAAGTTACCTTTTATTAAATTTTATATATTATTTACATTTTTTATATAAGTAAATTATATTTAATTTTTTTTAATCAATTACTTTTTATTAAAATTTATATTTTATTTATATATTTTATTTAAGTATATTTTATTTATATTTTTTTATCGAGTTACTTTTTATTAAATTTTATAAATTGTTTACATTTTTTATTTAAGTATATTTTATTTAAATTTTTAGTCATTTACTTTTTATTAAATGTTATAAATTATTTATATTTTTTAGTCATTTACTTATTTTGTTAAATTTTATAAATTATTTAAGTTAATTTTCTAACCAGCTTTTTTTAATTAGATAGACAGATTTCAAGTTGGTACCTCGTCCATGACCGTTGATGATCATGTTATTCAAGATATTGTTGAAGATTTTACTAATGAAGAAGATGATGATTTTTTCACTTGTTGCAATATATATGAATGATGATGTCTTGCTACGTGTCTGGACAATTGTCAAATCAATTTACCCAGACAAGCAAAAATAACATCTGGGAAGATCGGTGTTTTCCATCAAAATAGGCAACAGTAAGTGCAATCAAACAATTTCATATTGATGATAGATACAAATTTTATGTTGTTGAGTGTAAAGCTGACAAATATATTGTTTGTTGTATATATTATGATAACAGGTAAAATTCGTACCTAATGGGAGATTAAGAAAATTAAAGCGTCACATACATGTTTTAGTATAATGTTAAACCTGGATCATCAAAACTTAGACTCTTTCATCATTGCTAACATTATTTTTGAATTAGTTAAAACAGATCCCTCTGTTCCTATTAAAACTTTGATTGCAAAAGTCAAAGACAAACATGGTTATATAGTGATTTATAAAAAAACATGGGTAGAGAAACAAAAGACACTTATTGTGACATTTGGAGATTGGGACGACTCATAATAATCTTCCAAGGTGGTTGCAAGTTGTTGAAGATAGTAATCCTGATATAATTGTTTAGTACGTTTGTTTTCCTCGTTCAGTGCATGATGTCCATAATAATCCATCATTTATATTAGAGCATGTCTTTTGGTCATTTAAGCCATGTATAGAAGGATTCAAATATTGCAAGCCAATTATTCAAGTTGACGGTACATTCCTAACAGGGAAATATCATGCTACGTTATTAATTGCAACTTCACAAGATGATAATAAAAACATATTTTCACTTATATTTACAATTATTGAAGGTGAAATGAAAGAGACATTGGTATGGTTCTTACAACTTCTAAGACATTACGTTACACCTCAAAATAATTTATGCATGATAACAGATAAAGACAAAGGAATATTGTCAGCTATACATGAAGATCTTGATTGGAATTATCTCACCTCAATGTATTGTATTCGTCATATTGCCTCAAATTTCAACAAAAAGTTCAAAAATATTGATTTGAAAAGACAACTCATCAATCTAGGTAACATCTTCTATTTTTTCTCTAAATAAAATATATTTAAAATAATAGTTTTCTATGCCAAAACTTTTAGCAAAACTATCTACTTTAAGGTCTGACTTTCAACAATAAATGTCCTGGTTAGATGAGATTCCACTAGAGAAATGGACTCAAGCTTATGATGAAGGGAAACGATATGGACATATGACAACAAATTTTGCTGAATCTATAAATTCTGTTCTCAAAGGAGCACGAGTTTTACCTATATCTGTCTTAGTAAAAACAACTTCTGAAAGAGGCATATTTCTTGGTTTGTGGAAAGAGGCATGAAAACAGAGTATATGTTACGAGCTGAACATGAGTATCCAGAACATATTATTACACTGCTTAACGAAAACGAATAGCGTGCTCGAATATGTCATGTTCAAAGGTACAATCGAGATAATTATGAGTTTGACGTATAAGACCAATCCAATTCCCAGCATCATCGAAGATCAATAAGTTACATAGTTCGATTAAATCAATGGTGGTGTGATTGTGGGGAATTCCAAGCTCTTGGACTCCCTTGTTCTCATGTTATGACTGTCTGTTCTTCTTGTCATTTACAACTGACTACATTTATCGATCCGATTTACAACTTACAAAGCATTCATAAGGCGTATGAGTTTCAATTTCATCTGGTTCGAAATGAAGATTATTGGTCTACTTATATAGGTCCAAATTTTTGTCCTGATCCTAATATGCGTCAAGACACATCAGGAAGACCTACGACTAATTGGATTCGAAATGAAATGGATGTACAAGTTAGAAATAAACCAAAAAAATATTCATTTTGGTTGAAATGAATGACATAATCGTGCAAATTATCTTTTTCAACAATAAATTTGTATTTTTTTAATAATATAATATTTTAATATAAATACAATGAATTAAATTTAACCATGTCTAAATAATTTTATTTTTTATTAAATTAATAATTCAATTAAAAAGAATTATTTAATAAATAAATATTAAAAAAATCCTTTTTTGAAAAAAAATTATACCTAACTCGTGTTATGTAACACGTTAAAAAAAATCATAAAATCGTGCTTGAAAATATGATTTTTATTAAATAAAAATAAAAATTAAAAACCACTAAAATTGTGATTTTAGTCAAATTTATACTTCCCCGCATGATTTCAACCGCCCAAGATCGTTTTTCCTTGTATCATTTAGCCCATTTTGCTAAAATTAAAATTTTTCATCCTCATCTAATAAAAATAATTTTTTTTTAATCCCCTCTGGTAAAAAATGCCAACTCAGCCTCACTAATAGACACGCAAAAGTTGCAACCTGGAAGGAAGCCAGCTAAGTGATTGTAAGAAGATTGCTAATCAAACTGAAACCTTTCCCGCCCTGCAACCAAATCAACCATCACTCACCCTTGCTTGTTCCTCACTATTCAAGCCACGCATCAGACACAAAGTATAACTGAGCATTGCCGTGATAAAACCTGAATTTTAGACCTCCTCGCGTTTTAGCATATGAAGCTAAACCGGTGAATGGTTGCTTTGCATACCAACAAAAAGTGCCAATTTGCACAAGCGAGGGAAGCCCACACAAAATTTATGACAATTGACTTTTATGTTGCAGATGCCAGGGGATGGCAATTGGTAGTGAAGTCAATATAATCTGCCAGTTTCAACTCTAAGAAATCTGCCCCTGTATATTGCCACGCAAATCAAGCCCGTTTGAACACTTAACAATACAATATTCGGACCACAAGACACGAGGTATCAGGTACAAATCACCTACCAAAGCAGTAATAAAGCGCAATATTCAAATATATATATATATATATATATATATATATATATATATATATATATATGCATTTATACCAACTTCAACGCAATTATACACGTAATCAAGTGTAAGAAGGAGATCAAATTGTCTAGGAATGTAACTTTCGTGATATATTGGTGAAATGCATGCCTATTAGTGAGACTGAGTTTAGATTGCACGTCAGCCAAAGAGAAATTAATGGTTCAAGTTGGTCCGTTGTAAGGACAATGAATATCAGAAGTGAAGAATATAGCTAATACTCCAATAAGCCAAATGCAGAAACATAGAAACACCTTTCCATTTTTTGCAGACTGCACTCGATAAGACAGATCGAAGTCCTCTGGCACAGTATTCACATAAATATCTTCTATTACATACTTGGTTATTTCATCCACAAGCATCTTATGTTGAGGTATAGGATCGTGTGAGTTGAAGACCTTAGGTTTGGCATTTCTGAGATCAGCTGGAATCTCTGACTCTATGAAAGTAGACATGGCGCTGTCCATTTCATAGGCATCCCAACATTTAATAGAACCAATTCCTACTTCCTCAATGATCTTTTCAGGCGGCATTATATCAAATGGAAGCAAGGTTTCTGGCAAACCTTCTTCCACCAACGATATCTGGAATTAATAAATAAATAAAATCGTTTGGATCAGTTACGGTTTCCACAACACTCTTTTCAGTTTATCTTCTCGGAATCCAAACAATACATAATTGAATTAAATAAAGCTTAATTGCTTAGCATTTTGCACCAGAATCAAAACACTAGCGTTTGCTAGCTTAAGAAATAACAAAAAAATTAATCTACGTTCGATCTAAAATTTTTCCTGAATAAGCAATAGCACCTCGAAATTACTTGTAGCTTGAATTAGATAAATTATCTACGTGATTCTTAAAATCACTACACAGGTTGACATTTTGCACAGATTCTATATCTCTATCTTGAATGAAACGAAATGAGCCGATGAAACGAAGAAAATGTACATAGACACACCGTCTCAAATTTGACGTTGGAAATCGGAATGATTAATTCAAATTCAAGCTTACCGTAACATCTTCACTGCTATTAGTATATGATATTTCGGAGATTGGAGAAGAATCCATAGGAGCTTCAGAGGTGGATGTAAATGCTCCATCCAAGCCCTTGTTCGCAATCTGCCAGAGAAGACAATAAAAATAATCATGAGAATGTGAAGAAAGCAAAACGGAAAAAAAGTGAGAAGGTTTTGCGTATTGTGTTTCTGCCTTATTGAAGTTTGGGGAATCCTTCGATCTGCGATTGCTCTTCTTCAATGAGCGAGCATAGGTCTTGTAAGCCGATTGAGATCCTTTCATTGGCGGGAGTGAATTGAATTTTGCGAAATTTAATTCAATATGCAAAAATGGAACTAATATGTACCGAGAAGGTACTCCAGTATAATTAAATCAAACACGGTGTTAACGCCATATCTAGCATATGCTTAGATTATTGGACGCAAAGATAAAATTTAATTTATTGTTGCTAAGAAATATAATAAGATTTAACCACATTATTATGCCATTATATTCATTAATATGACAAGATAACAAGATACAAAATATTTATATTCTTATAAAATATTACTTTGTTAATATTTATAAACATAAAATAAGTTATTTAACATATATGGATCGGACTCAACTTTTTATCACCTTCAATTACACACTTTTACCTTACCTAATATTTTGTACTAGTTGATAAAATACTGATATATCTACAACATTATTTCTATCAAATAACTATTATACATCAATTTAATAATATATATATATATATATATATATATATATATATAATTATATTATTACAATAGTATTGAAATGGATTGTTGAATCAATATTTAAATGAAAATGGGGTCAAGATAGTATTTGCCTTAATTATATGTTTGAAGCTACTGATTGATTTTATCATATGAATTACATTGACAAGTTTGATATTAATTTAAATTTTTATTAATAGATGCTCTAAAGCGTTTGAAAATACGAATATTTTAAGATTATATAAACTTATTTAATTTTAAATGTTTTATGTGTTTTACAAATATTTCTCCAAAAATAATTTTTTAACTATGGTGTCATTTTTTAAAAAGTTTGAATTTATTTTCAAAAAAATTTAAAAATATGTAAAACTAGATAAGGTAAAGGAAGGATTTTTTTTTAATATTATATGTGAAAAAAAAATCTTATCATTATTCATAACTCTTATATTAACAAGATAATATATATAGTTTATTAATTTTTGTTTAATCTAATAATCTAAAATAAAATTTTATCTTCCAAATTTTATTCATATTCTCAATCTTATACTTTCATGTTAAAATAAGGGCAAAAATAATAAAATGTAGTATACATTTTTTTATATTTACTAATAATAAGAAAATTGATATATGACAATCTTTTTATAATTATTATTTTAAAAATGTATATCTAAAATATCTCATAAATGTTTTAACGTAAGTAAACACTGTAAAACTATGTAAATTAAATTAAATTTTCTCCATTACTTAATTAAATAATTAATCATAAAAAATACTCTACTCCTAAATAAATTTGTCAATTATTTATCTTCTACATCCACCATCATGATAAGGACAAGGAGAAAATTTTGCAAGTCTCTAGCTAGGATATCTTTTATCCGAAATTAAAATTTAAAATTAAATTAAAATAAGATAAATAATATAAAATGGGCTCGATGCACAGTTCAGCCCAAATCAGTAGCTTGTGTCAGGTCAGCCCAGCAAGTGAGGGAATTGGCGCCAAATGTTTCCCGCCAAATGGACTCCACAAAAGGGCGGTTGCAACCTCTGAATAAATACACTTGGGAGGAAAGAGAGGAGAAGAAGAATAAACAGTGAGAGTGAGACTGAGCGCGCGTGAGTGAGAGAGAAAGAAGCATGGAACCAGGAAACCCTTCGTCGCCGGATCCCGAATCGCCAACCTCTGCTTCCGTTGGTTTCAACACCGACCAGATTCCTCACACCCACACGAGCCGTGCCTCCGAGGACGACGAGGCTTCCGTTGACCCCGACATCATACGAGATGATCTTGAAGAACAACCCGAGGAAGAAGAAGATGGAGAGGATCTTTACAATGACAATTTCATGGAGTCAGTCTTGTTTTTTCTTTCGCTCACATAAAACCCTAACCATTTCTTCTACTTACAACGTTTCGCTGCTTGGGTGAACAGTGACTATCGGAGAATGGATGAGGCTGACCAGTTCGAATCGTTCGGGCTGGATGACTCGATGGAAGATGACAGGGACTTTGATCGGATAATGGAGGATCGAAGGGCTGCGGAGATTGAAATCGACGCACGTGAGGGTCGCGTTACCAATCGCAGCAAGCTTCCCCAGCTTCTTCACGACCAAGGTAAGTTGTATGTTAATGGATGAAAATTGTTTTGTGCTATACATGAAAAAGTTGAAGTGTGGCAGTTTGATTCAATGGATTAAATTTGAGGTGGATTGTTGTAAATGGGTCTAAAACTATTCTTTATAATGGAATAGTTTGAAACAATCCATTGCACTCCAAGATACAATTTCATCATGTCATAGGGGGAAATGCAAATTAACGATTTGGTGTTGATATAAAGAAAATTGATGGTATTGCTTGTGACTGGAATATTCGTTTGTATGAGCTGGAGTTGGAATATCAGTCTTGACCAAGCCTTGGTTACTGTCAATAAATATATTCAAATGGATTTCCACTTATTATTGGTCTATTGCACAAACTTTACAAATATAGGGACTAAAATCACTCGTTAGATGTAACTCTTGTAAATTATAATGTTAGCTGTGGAAAATATATGGTGTTGATCAGTGAAGTTTCTATCGTAGATACAGATGATGACAGTCACAGGCCTTCTAAAAGGGCCCGACCTGATTTCAGAGCTTCTTTACCAAGTGATGATGATCTGCAAAGTTCACCTGGAAGGTCACAACGAGGGCACTCAAGAGAGGATGTTCCTATGACTGATCAAACTGAGGATGATCGAGATGATGTACTGTCTACTTTGAAATTATTCATCGATTAACATTCTAGAGTTTCACTTTTGGTTTTATATCACAAACATGGGTACATGGAATGTAGGATGAATTTGATGACGGATATGAGATGTATCACGTACAAGGAACACTTCGGGAGTGGGTTACAAGAGATGAAGTGCGCCGCTTCATAGCCAGGAAATTCAAGGACTTCCTACTCACGTATGTTAATCCGAAAAATGAACACCGAAACAAGGAATATGTTTGGCTGATTAATGAGATGGTGTCAGGTAATATATTTTATACAGTGTTCATACCTTGTACTTGTGTTAGTGAGCTGTGTGTTTTATACATAAACTTAGTCATTGTGTCTATTATGCAGCTAGTAAGTGCAGTTTGGAGATAGATTACAAACAATTTATCTATGTTCATCCCAACATCGCCATTTGGCTAGCTGATGCGCCTCAGTCTGTCTTAGAAGTAATGGAAGATGTTACCAAAAGCGTTGTCTTTGAATTACATCCAAATTACAGAAATATACATCAAAAGATTTATGTACGCATAACCAACTTGCCAGTTTATGATCAGATTCGAAATATAAGGTAGCATAAATTGGTGTGTTACTCTATCCCCTTGTTATTTTTTTCATTGGATGAAAATACTTAAATTTTTTACTTCTTTGGAGCAGGCAAATCCACTTGAATACAATGATCCGAATTGGGGGAGTAGTAACTAGGCGCTCTGGAGTTTTCCCCCAGTTGCAGCAGGTGAAGTATGATTGTAACAAATGTGGGGCAATTTTGGGACCTTTTTTCCAGAATTCTTATTCAGAGGTGAAAGTTGGATCCTGTCCTGAGTGCCAGTCAAAAGGACCATTCACTGTCAACATTGAACAGGTACAAACTTGCTGAATCCTAATTAGAAAAAAGGATATTAGAGTGCGGATATCTAAATTAGATCTTTGGATGTTCATATCCTGCGTAATGTTGATCTTCATTTCAGCTAGGAAACTAAGTTCACCATTCTCCAATAACATGTAGCAAACTAAGTTCACGTTCATTATATTTGGAAGACAAAAGGATAAATAAACTTATCGTTCCTTTCTATGCTTGTTGTAGACAATTTATAGGAATTTTCAGAAGCTTACCCTCCAAGAAAGTCCAGGAATAGTTCCTGCAGGTCGACTCCCAAGATACAAGGAAGTCATTCTATTGAATGATCTTATTGACTGTGCTCGCCCTGGGGAAGAGATTGTATCATCTTTTGCCTGGACTCTTTAATTTTTTTGGTCTTGATTATTATAGGATGATTCTTACATTTTTTTTACGTCCTGTCTTTTCAGGAGGTCACTGGTGTTTATACCAATAATTTTGATTTATCCCTAAACACAAAAAATGGGTTTCCAGTGTTTGCCACTGTTGTTGAGGCAAATTATGTTACGAAAAAGCAAGACCTCTTCTCTGCCTACAAACTTACACAGGAAGACATAGCGGAGATTGAAAATTTGGCCAAAGACCCTCGAATAGGAGAAAGGGTTTGTACCTTAGAATCTTTATTTGTAGTTTTCTTTCGGTTTGACTATTGTTCCATAATGTGTTATCAATTGAATTTCAGCTTGTAAAGTCTATTGCTCCATCAATCTATGGTCACGATGACATAAAAACTGCAATCGCTTTAGCTATGTTTGGAGGCCAAGAGAAAAATGTTGAAGGAAAGCATCGACTGCGAGGAGATATAAATGTTCTTCTTCTTGGTGATCCGGGAACAGCAAAGTCTCAGTTTCTCAAGTATAATTCTATCAATTTTATTTTGTTGATATCTTTCTACTTGTAATAGCTATAATAAATTAACATCTCAATATCTACTGCAAGGTACGTAGAAAAAACTGGACAGAGAGCCGTATACACTACTGGCAAAGGGGCTTCTGCCGTGGGTCTCACAGCTGCAGTTCACAGGGATCCAGTCACACGGGAATGGACTCTTGAGGGAGGAGCCCTTGTTCTAGCCGACAAGGGAATTTGTCTTATTGATGAGTTTGACAAGATGAATGACCAAGATAGGTTAGAAAATAGACTTTACAATTGCTTGAAAATTTTTAATTATATTATTAATCTATTCCCTCACAAATTATCCTTGACCTATTAAGTTATCTATTTTTATATAAATTTTTTACCAGGGTGAGTATCCACGAAGCCATGGAGCAGCAGAGTATAAGCATATCAAAAGCTGGAATTGTTACATCTCTTCAGGCACGCTGTTCTGTTATTGCTGCTGCAAATCCTATTGGAGGAAGGTAAGCAAATAATTTAAGGCTTCCTTCTATCTGGCTCCAAGTTGGTACTGTTAACATCTGTGTCCCAGTTAAGATTTCATGTTCTATCTCATACACATTGAAAGATATTGGATGTACTACGAGTGTTACATGGTTTTGTTCCATTTTTCAAGTATCTAAACTTAGTATTCAATTTAGCTTTTCTTGGATTTGCAGATATGATTCCTCAAAAACATTCTCTCAAAATGTTGAATTGACAGATCCTATTATTTCTCGTTTTGATGTCCTCTGCGTTGTTAAGGTTATATTTAAATTCACTACCTCTTTCTTGACCTCTTAGTTTGATAATAATATTTATTTAGTGTGTTTTTTTTACAGGATGTTGTTGATCCTGTCACGGATGAAATGCTTGCAACTTTTGTCGTTGACAGTCACTTCAAGTCACAACCCAAGGGTGCTAACCAAGATGATAAGTCCTTTAGTGAGTCCCAAGATGTCCATGCATCTGCCGTGCAAGATGATCCCGAGGTCCTTACCAAGATCCTGTGTTTTTAGTGACATTGGTAAACTTAGATGTCTTCTGAGTCTTGACTTTTGTGAGTTTTTGGGCTTGTTTGCAGATACTTCCGCAGGATCTACTGAAGAAGTACATTACATATGCCAAGTTGAATATTTTTCCAAGGTTACAAGATGCCGATATGGATAAACTGTCTCATGTCTATGCTGAATTGCGGAGGGAATCCTCAGTAATACCCTGTCTTAACATTTTTCCAAAGTGGACTGTAGTTATAGTGTGTTGAATTCATTGACATGCTTCTTTTTCTTTTGTTTTCTTCCATAGCACGGACAAGGAGTCCCTATTGCTGTAAGGCATATTGAATCTATGATAAGGATGTCTGAAGCTCATGCGAGAATGCATCTCAGACAGCATGTTACACAAGAGGATGTGGACATGGCAATTCGTGTTCTACTTGAATCATTCATTTCCACACAAAAGTTTGGGGTGCAGAAGGCTCTTCAAAAGGTTTATAAAAAATTTATGAATCTGCCTTAGAATTCTGCTAAATTCTGATATTAGTTGCGATTATATTTTTTGCCTTGTCTTTTTGTATTCGTGCTAGTACCTTTTTGCAATTATTATTTACTTTATAATTAATGGAATTTCTAATGGATAAATATGGCCTTGATCCCTTCCCCTAAATAATGTGCTTGTTCTCCAGAGCTTTCGAAAGTACATGACTTTCAAGAAGGACTACAATGAACTGCTCCTTTATATTCTCCGCGAGCTTGTAAAAAATGCTCTGCATTTCGAAGAAATTGTCACCGGATCTACTTCAGGTCTAACTTCTGTGGATGTAAAAGTAGATGATCTGTACAACAAGGTAAATATCATTTGTCTGGTGTTTGTTGCCAACCCAGATAATCAATGAATTGACTATAATTTGACAATTTGCAGGCTCAAGAGCATGACATTTATGATCTGAAACCATTCTTTAATAGCAGCCAGTTTACACGGGCCAATTTTGTATTGGATGAAGAAACGAGAGTCATCAGACATCGTCTGGTTTGAATGTTTGATCGTTTTTAACCATTGACCCAGTAATTACATGTGTTTTTATCTTATAATCTCCTTTCATTGTTAACTGGCCGTTAATGTAATCACTTGTGTTGCCTAAAAGCATTATAGATAAGGTTATATCACTGTTGCTGGTTGGGTGAGGGAATGGAGCCTGTGACTGACCAATCCCATAAGTAAGACCACGAGACCAGGAAGCAGACAGACAGGTTATATTACTGTTGAAATGGCGCTGACTGCACGAATATGTAATTTTGAATCGAGATATTTAACCTATTATTATTCTTTGTTATATTAAAATATACACTTATTTTCATTAGTTTTTCTTTCATCTGAATCTTGTCAAGAATGATGAGTGTTATCTATTTTCAGTTTAGACGATAACATCTAAATATATTTTCATAAATATGAATTGTTTCAATTGGATTTCTTAATTATTTCAAAAATCACTATTGGCGAACCTAATTGAAAATTTGAAATGCTGTTTTAAAAGTCCTAATTCAAAATTTGAAATCAGTTATGCATTAAAAATACTCTTCTAGGATATATTTATTTCTCACTATTTTTAACGAAGTTTAGAATGCTTTACGCGAATATATAAATTCTATAAAATTTTGAATTGTTTATGAATTTAAATAGGAAGTTTTCAAATCCATTGACTGAGTTTTCCTGTCGGTCAGTAAATAGGTCCGGGCCTGTGTGTCTGAGTGTAATGCTCTTTCTTTTTCTGATGTTTTAGCCTCAATCAAATAGGCAGGCACCAAAGAATATTAGCTCAAGCCTTTTTCGTCCCGCTGAAAGAAGGACCGGCCTGAGGGATCATAATTTTGAAAAAAAAAACTTTATTAATTAATAAAATACTACTGACGGTTCTAATAAAAATTCCGGAGTTCCTTATACGTTTAAATATTACCTTTGATGATATTTATTGAAAATATCGGAAAAGTTTTCCATAATTTTGAAAAATAATTGAAGTCTTTTAAGAATTAAAAAATATATATTGAGAAAAATTGTAATTAGAAACTTGAATATTTTTTTAGAAATTTTAAAATAACCCTCATTTATTAGAAACATGTGAAGATTAGTTTATAATGAACAAAATTTTGAATCTTGAATGTATAGGTGAATCTTTACAAAAAATAAATTAAAAAGGAATAAAAACATATTTTTAATCAATGTAAATTTAGACAGATTTTTGTTATGGTTCTAATAAAAATAAATTTCAAATCATTGTTTTTAATCTTAACATTTGTTTTAAGATAGATAAATAACATAATTTACGTATAAGATTATATCACAACACTAATATTGTTATTTAGAATTGACCTTTCATTCAGTCCTAGAAATTAACTAGTGTCATGATACTGAGAATAAAAAAATAGTGATTTCAAATTTAGAAAGACTAAAAAGGTAAAAACCCAATACCAAAATCAAAATTCATTTTATAAATACTAAAAATATATATATAAGCTATTAAAAAATTACCCTCGATTATATGTATTGAAAATATGTGAATTTTTGTCACTATTTTAAACTAGCTTAAGAATTAAAAATACTCCCAAGTTTATTTATTTATTATTTAAAAAAATCATTTTGTAGTTTTTAAAAGCTAAAAAATTAATTAATAATTATTTTGTTAAAATCATTTAAAAAATAGTATTTAATTTTTAGATTTTTAAAATTAAAAAATTTGATAAAAGATGTCTCATATTTTAGTTTTCTATTTTTATCAGTGATTATCAACATCTTTACTAATATTTGCATTAAATCATTCATTTTTATCAATGAATATTAATATCTTTTATGATTAACGATGTAATTTTTTATTGTTTAAAATACCATTTTGAAAATAAAATTATAAAATATTTAAATTTTCAATTTATTTTTAAATATCAGTCAATTGACTTTTATTATAAGTATGTGAATTTTTTTTATTTAATAATCTAAGATTAACTGTACCCTAATTGAAATTCGAGACAGTTTATGATATAAACGTTTGAATTTTTCATAATTTTTTAAAAATCTTTTTATAATTTAAAAGTGACTTTGTAATAGAAAACTGTGTCGTTCTTTGTAATGACTCTCTTGGTAGCCTTTCAAAAAAATGCGTGAATCTTTCTTTATAGGTTTGAACAAAGTTTGAAATTATTTTCCAATTAAATCATAATTCTAAAATGCCCTAATCAGAAATTTATAACTTTTTAAGTATTTGAAATTGATTTTCAATGACCAAATTCTTGATGAATTCAAAAAAAAAAAAATACCATCAACTACTTTTTTTCAGAAATAGGTAACTTTTGTTGATAATTTGCAAATAGTTTGGAATTATTCATGACATAAAAGATACCCTTATCAGAACCCCTTTTCTCATATATGTAAACTTTTTGTTTATAATTTCAAATAAAATCTGGATTTTTTTATAGATTAAAAAATTAATATTGATGACCAAATCCAACATTTGTAATATATTGTAAATAAATAAATGAAATTCTTGGTGGAAGTAAAACATGAACCAATTTTAGTAGAATCAAGATTTCATTTCCCTTCTTCTTTCTGGTTTATTATTTTTCTTCAAACTTTTAAATGAGTTTGGTTGAGAGTTTCTTTTATGTTGAGCATGAAATGTAAATAATGAATAAAGAAAAAAAAAAGTGAAGGAGAAAAAGAACACAAAGTCATTGTCATGTGAATTTAAAAATTTGGAAAAACTCTTCAAATTAGTCATACCTAAGTAGTTACACGTTTAAAGCAAGTGAAAGAAAGTGGCAAACAAAAATTGACCTTATTATATCATGTCCATCTATTGACGTATTACCCTAAAATATAAATTAAACTTTAAAAGACTTTATTTTTTTAATTTATTTAAGGTTAAAATGTTCATTTAAAAATCCAATTAATTGTTTAAACTAAAATCAATGATGTTTATGACACTAAAAATATAAAATAATATTATACTATTAATTGTTCATGCTTCGTAACTTTAAAATGATAAAATTATACTATTAATTGTTCATGCTTCGTAACTTTAAAATGAAAATCTTAAAAATAATTATTAAATATTAGACGAAATCAAGTACCAATTTCCTCATCGAATAAATAAATTTATTTTCTAATGAAATGATAATTAAATCAATATTCGGAAAACTAATCCAATTTCATCCAAAATTTAGAGGAAATTTTTGAGTTGATTTTTTCTTTTAAAAAGTTGAGTGCGGATACGAAACTGGATAGATCCTGATGTCAACAAACCCGTTCTTAATTTAATTTTATATTTAAATTTTAATCTTAAAATGTTAATATTTTAAAAAATATTTTATTCTCTTCTTCACGTTATATATAACATCATTTTTATCTTTTATTATTTTTAGTTTTCTTTTACTATTTTTTACTTGTTATCTTTTTTTCTCTATAATAAATTAGTTCATTATATTAACTTTTGCATTTTCACGTTTTCTTAATTTTTTAATCAATTTTACTTTTCTAACTTTTCAATAAATTTATAAACATAAAACTATTTTTTTCTTTAATTTTTAAAATATTTTTACATAAATCTTAATGATAATTAATATTTTATTTTATTTAAAATTATTTTTATTATATTATTTTTTATTTTTATTATTTATATTTTTCATATATCAAATTTTATCTTAATAAAATAATTATATTTTAAAAAGTTAAAAGAATTAATAATTTAAAATTTTTATTACTTTAAAGTAATTAAATAAAAAATTATTTATTAAATATTTTTTATAAATTATATATTTCATATTTATAAATATTTTTAAATAATAAATTAAAAATAATTGACTTATATATATAATAAAATTGTTGAATACATTATTATAATATATAATAATAATAATAATAAGAATAATAATAATATTTTAAGTATTTTATATTCTTATAAAGAAAAAATATTAAATATTTTATTTATTTATATATATATATTAATATAGATATAATAAATTAAAATATATTTTAATTGATAATAATAAAATTTATAAAAATTTATTTATATATAAAAAATATAAAAACAATTTATTATAAATATTATTTTTTTAAAATAATGTCCACGGAAAACTTAAAATTTAAAAATAGAGATAAAAATTTAATTTCTGGCAGAAATAAAAACAAAGAAAAAAAAAACAGAAGTTAGAAAAGAAATACCCCGTCCGACGATATTATCTAAATCATCTGTAAAAACAGGTTTACTTAGATTAAAAAACAATTATTTAAACTAAAACGATTTATATTTTGTTCGATGAGTTTAAAGTGTGATTATAATAAATATAATTTTAAAATAAAAAACAATATTATTTATTAAAATATATTCATTTATTTAATTTTATATATAAATAATTGTATTTAAAAATTAAAATAAAATTGTCTGTCACAATATTTTGTCTCATTAAAGATCCTAGCCGTCCATTTCGTGAGGTGCACAAATTATATAGTTGGTAGACAAACAAAAAATGAGAGTGCAGAACACCAAATCGTTTATTTATGCATTGACGTTTAGTGCTAAACTGGGATGATGCTAGTAAATTTTAATTATTTATTTATTAATTAATATTTGTATTCAATAAATTAAAATTTTATTTTTTTTAAGTATTAAAATATTTAAATATAATAATTATTTTAAATTTATTTAATATTTATAATTTAAATTATAATATATTTTTTAATAATATAATATAGAATGTAATATTTTTAATGTATTTTTTTTCATTGGTCCACAAAATTAACAAGATTAAAATAAATTAAAATTATCAATATGTCCTTCCAATTTTAATGATAGCTGCAAACAAATGCCACAACTCAATGCCACCTTGCATTTAATGGTTTTGTCCACATTCAATGAAAATACAATTCACGTTCACATATAACACTGCTCATTGCCATGTTTTACAACCCCGCGTATGTAGCACCCCCCATAATGCACAACATAATTTTTATTCTCAAGATAAATATTGAAATTAAACTTATTTAGATATATAAAACATAAAAAATACCTTTTTTATTTGTTATATTATTATATTTTAAGTTTTTAAAAAATGTGGATAATAATATTAAAAAAGGTTGATTAATGTGTAAAAGTAACGTTACAAAACATACACGTCAATATGTTAGACACCTATAAATAGGAGAAGACCTAGCTAAACTTTTCATATCTTTAATAGAAAATTACCTCAATTAGTAGTTGATTTGTGGGTAAACATGATTTAAAACCTTAAATTTTTCTTAATCAATTTTTTTTGTTGGATTATAATTATTAACAACTAATGTTTCAAACTAAACAAATTAAATTTTGACTCCGACTAAGAGAAGGTCCAATCTCTTCAACTTGATTTTTTTTATAGCATTTTTTCTTCTTTGAAGAGTAATTTTATTTTTCTATATATTTACAATTGAGAGTTGGAAACCAATTTCTTAAGCACATATACAAACTCTGATTTTTTTTCTTTTCAAAGACTTGGTGATAAAATCTTTTGAGTATGTGTCTGAAAATATAATTATTGTCAATCATACTAGATGTGAATATTTGTGCAGTATGTAAATATAATAATTTTTGTTAATACTTTTTCATGATCATGTTCCTGTTTATGAATTATTCTTTCTCTTTCATACGTGTCTACACAAGTAGTGTCCACGAAAGTTCCAGGGTCAGATTCCAATAATGACGTCAGCACATACGTAACCTAGTCAGAGCTAGAGGTTGAACACCTTCGCAAGCCCCGTGAACAAACCTCCGAATTTGTGGGGCCAAAATATCGGATTTCCTCTATTTAAGGCGCACATCTCATATTTTCTACCTCATCAACAGCCACAAAAGCCGACATACACAACTCCCAAAATCGCAGATCCGAGAGATACCGTCCAAAAACGACACAGCAAACCATGTGCCCTTCCGGTCGCATCCTCAGCCCCCAAGCTGCTGCCATCGCTGATTTCCGCCCCGCATTCGATGTTCTCGACGCCGACCGCGATGGCAAGATAAGCCGCGACGACCTCCGCGCATTTTATACCGGCGTACGTGGCGGAGTCGACGGCGGAGATGAGTTGATCGGCGCAATGATGACGGTGGCCGACACAAACAAGAACGGGTTCGTGGAGTACGAGGAGTTCGAGCGCGTGGTGGCAGGAAACGCAGAGATAAAACCCATGGGTAGTGGGGCCATGGAGGACGTGTTCAGGGTCATGGACAAGGACGGCGACGGCAAGCTCAGCCACCGCGACCTCAAGACTTACATGGCCTGGGCGGGCTTCCCGGCCACCGACGAAGACATCAACGCCATGATTCGCTTCGGCGACGGCGACAAAAATGGCGGTGTTACCTTCGATGGTTTGCTTCGTATTTTAGCGCTTGATTCGGCCGCCGTGAATTAATTAATTTGTTAAATCTTGGGTTTTTATTTCCCGCTAACAAATTAGGGAAATTGCAGCGAACAATCGAATTCAAATCAAAGCGGTGCAATAAAATGTAGTATGGAGTAAGGGACCATTTGGTATTCAGAGGTTTATAACTTTATTTGAGTAAAGGGACAATTATTTTAGTGTTTTTTTTTGTATCTTGTGAGCCTCCATTGCCAGGATTTCATGAATATTAATCTTTGCGTATAATTAATGTTATTTTGTTATAATATAAATAATAAAAACAATGTTTCTGTTTGTTTTTATTATGACTTTATTACGTTCCATTCAATTCAAATTCTATTTTAAATTAGAAAAAACCTACCAGAAATCATTGGACGCAAGTTATTAATGTTATTTATAACTTTATTATATATAACTTTATTAATGTTATTTATAACGATTACCATATGAATAATTTTTATTTTTCAAATTGTTTTTCGTTGAAACTAGTTTTTCATAACGATAGAATAGTCGTGGGAAATTGGACGCAAGTTTTGAAAATGGCATATTGAAACTTATTTTTATATAATCAATAAATATAACTCTTTTAAATTTTATTAACAATTATATATAAATTAATTGAAAAAGTAAAGATATAATTGACTTCTTAAAAAATTATGTAAATAATTAATGTTATTTGAAAATATGAAAACAATAAATAAACAGAAACAAAAGTCTTCTAAAAATAAGAATGAAGAAATAATAATTGAAACTGAGTAATATTTTATTCGTAGCAATTTGATTTGTCTTTCCCTTCTTTGCCAAAATGTAAGCTTATTCGTTAATATATTTTAATAAATTTTGTATTTTAATAATCTTAATAATTAACTACAAATATAACTCTCAAAAGATAAATTTAAATAATCATTCTATTTTAAGTAAATGAAGGAAGTAATAATGTTTTATAATAGTACTTTGATTCTTTTTTCTCTCTCTGAAATTTAATTTTATTCATTATTAATATTTTAATAATTTTCTCTAAAACATAAATAATCATTCTATTTTAAATAAAAGTGAATTGACAATTAATTATATAAATAATATATTTTAAAAAATTACTCAAAATAAAATTTTAATAATTTTATTTTCTAAACTATGTCTTGTTTACCCACGGAATTTAATTAAATTGAATAAAATTATAAAATAATTATTTTTCTTTCTCTTCAATCATCTCTTATATTTCTCTTTTTATTCATTTTTTTATTTTTGTATTCACTCATTATTTTTTTTCTTTTTCTTGTCACCTCTGTTATTTTCTCTCTCTTTTTTTTATCATTTTTTTACTTAATGATTTTTATTATTCTCTCTCATCTCCTACTCCACCATATTTTTCTAATTAAAAACGTTATATTAAAATTTGGAAAAAAATTAATAATTATTTAAAATTATGACGACATTAATAATTATTTTAAAATCATTTTATTCTAATAAATTAATTAGTCTTTTAATTTGCGTATATTCAAATACATTTTTTTTAATTAATTAAGTTAAAAGGAGAGGAAGTATGAGTGAGTATTTTGCTTATAGCTAGAAATCTAACTTTAATATCTTTATATTGTGAATATTTAAATGTATTTATCCATAGTTTATCCAAAAACAACTATTTTATTTTAAATAAAAATTTATTCAGGAATTGTTTTTAAAAAATCAATAATGAAACTTGTGATTCGTACAGTAATTAAAAGTTATAATAAAAAAAATTATCAAATCATCCTTTGGTACACTTTCTTCCTTTCTTTATTTTCATCACATTCCTTCCAATTCATTAACGTTTACATATAAACGTGATCCCAACGTTTAAATATAGTCTTATTTTAAGAGATTTTTTTTCCATTAAAAAAAAACTTAAATATAAATTAATCATGATGAAATTTATATCTCACTTGTTATAATTTTTAATAGTATTTTTTTCATCTATTATTATACAAGAAAAACTAAGTATTATTTGTTATTGTTTACTTATTTCTCCAAACAAATATTTGTGATATCGCTGGGGTTGACGATGGTAGGGAGTGATCACCGGTGCAGTGAGGCACGAACATGGAGCGATTCTTGGCAAATTTTCAGCGGAAAAGTTATATGAATGAATTGAAACACACCCGAAACAGAGAGATCCAAAAACTGTATAGGTATGAAACTATACAGTTGAAATATAGCTTAACAGAATTGATTGATACTACCTATACAAACAAAATGCATCTACTTTTCGGTAGCTTATTACATAAGAACTTCGTAGTTAAGCGTACTTGAGTTGGAGAAATTGTGGGATGAGTGATATTCTGGGAAGTTCTGAGAAAGTGTGTGAGTAAGAACAAATCACACTGAAAAGTCTCGTATTGAGTTGTAGGGATAATCGACAATTTTGTATAAGTAACTGGGGCATTACAAATGATATAAGAGCCAAAGCCTCTTCTGGTACAAGTATAGTGAGTTTGTACAATGTAAAAATAAATAAAAGTCTAATTTAATTTTCACACTTCAATTCAATTTACCAAAAATACGGATGAGTAAAACCACTGAACAAAAATGCCTTAGATTAAGGTTTTAGAGTTTAAATTTAAGTTTTTTTAATTGAAAGATTAATTGAACTTTACAACACATCATAATGTAACATAACTAAAGTATTTATACTAATATATTTAATAACTTTATGTCAAAATTATCATTACATAAGTTGGTCGGTCAACGATTAAATATTTATAATGTCAATAATTTGCAGTTAATGTTACATATAATATCAATGTGCACGTTGTATAAGTTATAAATATGCAAAATAACAATTTAAATTAATTAAGATATTTGTCTTGATTTTATTGAAATACTTTATTGTTTCACTTATGTCGAATATCAGTTAGAAAATTTTTGGGAAAAGAATAACATTATTTTACAGGATCTGCAATATAATAAGAAATGTTTGTAAATAATTTTATTTTATTTCATGCAAAAAAAAAATTATTTTATTAAATACAACTGATATTCGTTGATACCTTTAACGTCTCCATATATTTTATATATTAACATATTAAATATTCCAAACAAAACCATGTAAAGAGAGTGGAGGAAAACCTTATATTTTGGGAATAGTATATACTTTAATAATGAATATTATTCGGTTTAGAAATAAGAAAATATCTTGTTTCTTTGATGTTGGTTATAGTAATAATGTCATGTCCAATAATACAAGATATTATTTTTTGAAATTTTAATTTCTTATAATTTTATGTTTAAAAATTATTTAATAAACTGAGAAAAAGATATAAAATATTTTTATTTTATATTTAAATTTTTATTAGTAACAATCATATCATTGTTAACAGATTAATTGTTTGCGCAAAAATATTCACTACAATAAACAATATTACAAAATAGTGAAAAAATAAAATGATAAATTATATATTATTTTAATATTATATTTTATTCAATTCTAATAATAAAAAATATAATATTTTATTGTCATATTGTTGAATCTTGTTCTATAATATTTGATTTGATATTATTTTTGTTTAAGTCCAACAATTTTTAGGAGTGGAATCTAATAATAATTTAAATATTTTTTTTAATATACTAAAACTTTTTTAGAATAAAATTATAATAAAAAAATTCAAAATACATAATATCGATTTTTACTTTATTTACTTACTGGTCAACTTAATCCTAATAAAACTTAAATTTTAAAAGTGAATTATATATATAATTTATTTTTTATAATTTATTAGATAAAATCCAAATTCTAGAATAGACTATTAAATAAATTATAAGTTGTGGTGGAAAAAATTTTCGATGGGCCGCCCAAAGTTTGTAATTTTTTTAAATTTCATTTCAGGTTTTAAATAATTGTATCATATTTATTAGGCCAATACATACAGGCTTAAAAAATAATAATATTTTATTAATTTTATGAAATAAGTAATTCGAAAATACTTTCAAAATATTTTGAATTATTTTATATATATATATATATATATATATATATATTAAATTTTATACTATGAAATTTAAAATGTAATTTTACTACTCTAAAAAGATCAATTAAAAAATATTAAATTTAGAAATAAATTTTTGGATGTACGATTTAAGTGTAGATTGAATTTGATTTTTTTAAATTAATTCTAAAACTTATTTATATTAAAATTAATATTATCTTTTTAAATAAATATTGGATAAAAAAAATTACGCAAGTCAAAGGAATAATAAGCCATTCATGTATTAGTATGGGCTAAAATGGAAAATGGGCCGATCAGTTGAAAGTTTAGATTTCGTAGGATTAAAGGGCTTTTGACCTAAGGCAAAGAAAAAGTCTCAAAGGGCAAATCCGTAATAAAAATAACAATGGCGGTTCTTTAGTCTTTTCAAAGAGAGTAAAAACCCTAATTCTAACCTTCCCATTATATAAATGAGACCCAGACACCTTCTTTAATCTCCGAGGTTGAAGAAAACCTTATCTTTCTTTAATTTTCATGAAATCAACGAACGGCGAAGCTATTGTTTTTGAAATTTTCCTTTTATCTTTTTTATTTGTCTCTTGAGATGCCTTTGATTCACAGGTCATGAATCACGGGTTATCTCCTAATCGAAGATGAAAGAGGCGTAGATTTTTCGCAGGAATGTTGAGTCGCTTCGCCTTCGTGTGTTCAATCCAGGCGCAGTGAATTATTAAACTGCGAAATCAATATTTTTCTTTCTAATTGTCATTAAAGTTTCGATTTCTTTTTGTTCTTTGATCTGTATCTTTAAAAAAAAAAAAAAAACTTTTTAACCTATTTGTGTTTAGAGTTATGGGATCCAATGATGGCATGAAATCTTTGAGACCTGATTGTCTAATTTGATGACAACAATAAGCATAACGCTGAGGATCTATCCAAACCTTGTTTTTTTTTTTCTTTTTTCATTTGTCGGATGGGTCATGTCAGCAGCATATGTATGATTGTAATTTGGGAGAGAAAGAGGAAAAGGGTTTATGGAAAATGGATCTGAATGATGAAATATGCACTGGGCTCTGAGCAGCTATGAAAATGAACTGCATTATTGATGCATAATGCTAGCCTAGAAAGCTATGTCTGACTATTTCTTCTTTCTTTTCCATATTTTTTAAAACTTGCTTGGGTACAAGCTTGTTTAACATTGAGACTGTAAAATAAGAAAACTAAGTAGATTCTGGTCATTTTAACATTGATAATAAATTTAACCGACAAATTATTTCATATAACATTTAATAAATTCATAATTATAACTATTGTACCTCACTTTTATATTGTGGAAGAATTATCTAGACTTATTTTACTTTAAAATTATAATAGAACATTTTTACAGTTAATATTATTTTATAGTTTTTTTATTTTTATCTAAAAGTATATTTGGATGTACTAATTTTGTTATGATTGGTGAGACTGAATTGTATTTGTTTTATGAAAATATGTCTGTTCATTAAATTGATATATATATATATATATATATTTAAAGTTGTATTGTTTTATTAAATTGTAGTTTCTTTTATTAAAAAAAAACTGTTAATGTAAATTTATAAACATGATATATTTATCCTCTAATAAAATTGTGTATGTTTTTCATTAAATGATGGCTTTCTTCACCGAAAGTACTGAAATTAGAAATTATAAAATGTGATTGTCACAAGAGTAATACAATGTATTTTTTCTTTACAAAAACTATTACTATTTATTTCATTTCATTTTTACAAGGCCTGGATGGAAAATCTTTTCGTTTTGTTTTTTCTTGGAAGACCATAGTTGACAATGATTTTTACTGGGATATTTATTCATTGTTGTTGAGTTATTTCCAACTATTTGCACAAATATTATTTTCTTCAATCCATCTCTCGTATGGAACAAATGAATGATTAAAATTGACAAATTAAGAAAATGTTGCAACTATTAACTTCTTCCATTTCAGAAAGATCATAGATATTTAAAGCAGTGAATTCAGCATAATCAATGAAAATTATACCAATATAAAAAAAATCAAATTTAAATTACAAAAAAACTGCAAAACTAAAAAAGATTTACACAAGCTAAAGATATTTTGACAATTTTTTTTTAATTCATTAACTTTTTTAATCAAAACTTAAAATAATTTTTGACTTTAAATTCATTAACTTTTTTTGTCAAAACATAAAACAAATTTTGACTTTAAATATTTTGATTTAAGATCTTTAGAATAAGCAGTTGTTCATGCTAATGATCTAAACTTAACAATCTTTACAAATTTCTAATAAGAAAGCAAATAATGCAATACCAAAACTATGAGATAAGGAGATAAATTTCTTAATTTTAAAACTTTTTGAAATGTGAAATTCAATTGAGTACGGTATTTTGTAGGAATGACAAGGTGAATTTTGCCTCTTTTGTCGGACTAGAAATTAAATCCTATTTCACTCTTCATTTTACATTATTTTTAAAAAATAATTATTCCTATAATAAATTAATTTTAATATTTAATAAATTAATTTGTATTTAATTAATTCAAAATAATAAAATTTTAATTATAATGATTTTTTAATCTTCAAAATATAATTATTTTATTAAAATTAAATTTAATATATAATAAATAAGAATAATAAAATCTAAAAAATACAACAAAATAAAAACTAATAAAAATAAAATAAAAATAAAATAATATTAAATATTATTAAAATTTATATAAAATATTAAAAAAAAACATTTTTTTATTCATATTAGTTGAAAAAAAATAAAAAAAGCCAGAAACAAGATAATGAGAATATTTTTAATCTTATCATTCATAATTAAAGTTTAAATAAACCAATCAAAACAAACTAATATTTTCAATACAATTATCAATTAGTATTTTTAACTTGTAAAGAAAGGAAAAAATGACCATTGACTTATGAATATGGTGTTCCCTTTTAAGTAAATTATTTTGGACTCCGTTATTGTGCTTATCTAGTGTTATTACAAAATTGTGAGTGATATAGCCATGTTGCAAATCTTCTATGCCTCTTCACTTTAGGGGGAATTTTGAAATGAAGCAAAAATCAAACGAAGAGATTTGGAAAAATATAGCATACACTAGATCCTTGTGTCTCAATCCTAGATCATACTAGGACAAATCATGAATCGAAAGCACTGATATAAAGGATTAGTGAGCATTTGATTTTATTTTCTAAAGACAATTTACGCTTTTAGCGAGCCAAAATCCAATCTCACATTTACATGCACTATCCAATTAAAAAAGAAAACACTAAAATTAAACTTCTATTAACAACACAACGTTTAAGCATTTTGAATATCGAACAATGTTTTATCTAATAGAAAGATCTGATTTACTCTCCTGATATTGTGTTTAAATATGGCAGAAGCACAAAAAGCATTACTAGTATTATATATATATATATACATAGAGAGAGAGAGAGATGATAAGAACATTTTAAAGTTATTCTTATGACAGACAAATTTATTCGAATCTTCAGTGTTAAATTTAGGGTTTCAGCTGTACGGCTCCTTGCAATGAATTGAATAATGCACACGAAAATTTCTTCAGCTAATTAACACTCTAGAAATGTCACCAAATTAAAGCTGAAGCCCCTTCCAGTACCTACCAAAAATACATAATCTAGCCAATGTTACTATAGGAATTTTGTTCTTTTCATTTGTCCTGCATTGACCGCTATGAATCCAAAATGGTATACATTTGATTTTAATATAGCAGTGATAAGCTCTAACCAGTGTGATATGGCTTGGTAGTTTCTGATTGTTGATTTCAAATTCTTGAGTCAGCGCACCGGATTTGAGAAGAAAATTACAACAAAGTACACAACGAATCCAGCAATAAGTATTCCCCCATATATATAAGTTTGAGAGGAGTGGACGGGATATTTGTACTCAATTTTGCAGCATCTCATATTTTCCCTCTCGGTGGCCAAGACATGATCAACATATCTGCAATTCACAAAATTGTAAATAGCTACTAGAACTAGTTCATGGGGAAAAGTATATCAGGTTACAAACCTCTTTCCATTTTCACAACATAAATGTAGACGTTTTAAAATACAGGGTAACTTACTGTTGGGTGAACATGGTGCTCTGCAGAATATCTGAACTGTTCAAGTAGGCATCCTGTAACCGATGATCATATAACAGTGAAGACATATCAACAAGCTGCTCCTCCAGGCCCTGGTGTATGTACACAAAATAGCAACATGTTAACAATACAAATGCCTGCAAAATGAGGTCAAAAACTCCATTGAAGTAAAGCTTACATCAAGATATTTTTCTAAGCGATCAACTAATTCATGTGGGAAGGGTTCCGGCAAATTAGCAGTTTTCTTGTAGAACTTCTCTAACCACAATTCAGTGCTTGACTTTTCTTTCTTCCCTTTTACTGGTTCACCAAGGGGAGTTTTCAGATACTCTGCTGCAAATGTTTGCACAGTCTGCACAGAATTGACAGGTAATTTCAGGGAATCAAGTACTGGTACTTATTTTAAACTCAAATGCAGCATGAATTACCTCTGATGTATCACGAATTTTATGAAGTACAGAATCCACACGGGCATATATTGAGTTCCTCTGTCAATAAACAAAAAGCTAATTAGAGAAATACCTCTTGGTAAATAAAATTCACTTGGGCATATTGAGAGAGCATTCACCAAAGCAACATCTTGGAGCATTTGACTGATGTGAGAAGTATTAGAGAACGGTCCAAATGGATGGCAACCAGCCGCCCAAAGCCAATTTACAACAGGTCTTTCATGTACATGAGAAGCCTTTTCATATGGTGCACTTAAACCACCTACAACTGAGGCAAGACCAGCCAATATATGACGTTGTGCCTGAGATGGAATAGCATGCCTTCTATGTGTTTCTGAAACGTAACTGTTAAACAAGGCAAGTAAGAGTAGTGTTAATTTTTGCAAAACAAAAACTGATAAATAATGAAGAAACCCAAGGTAATTGAAAGCGGACTTTGAAATTATTTGAGTCAAACAATCCATATAGACAATCAACAAGGAAAGAATGTAGTTTGCATTCTAAAAAACTAACTAAATGGATTGTATGAACAACATATCCTCAAAGAGAAAGACAAACATTCAAAAACAATCAGAAGGTATATATCATTGTCACTAATAAATTGATATGTGGAAACTTTATGGACAAAAAGGATTAGAGGTTCCACATAGAAACATGAGATGGTTTCATACAGCCTACCATAGTTTAGTATGTTGCCAATTAGGAATTAGTCATAATAAGCAGTGTGCAACACATTTAATTCTTCCTCTACCATCTACACATAAAAACTTCTTAAGTAGGAAGTATAAATCTTCAATGTGAAAGAACTGGATATCTGAACATTACATTTACTTACCTCAAAGGAATCTTTTCATTTTGATGCTCAAGCACAATTACTACATCATTGCTTGTCCATACCATACTTTCATCCTCCATCATAAGGTTTGGATCCACATCCGCCAGTGATAGCACAAAGCTGCATATTAAAAAGCATTGCATTCAGAAATTTGAGCATTGAATTGGTCTTGAAACAAAATGATGTCATCAAGACCAATCAAAATACTTCTTCATATAACTAGTGCAATATATGCATTTCACGTAAAAAAAGACCATCTAAGTCATGATCTAATCACAAGTATTTAAATCTTCAAACTATGTGCTTGATTGACATAATAGATCAACACAATGAGAAGAAGTATATCCAAAACTTTTCCTTACAAAAGTTCAACCCGAAGATATTTTTTCTAACTCAACTTTGATCAGTCACTGCTGAAATACAAATAAATATTTTGGTATGTTGGGAGCTACATATAGTCAATATGATATTTGTATATGCGGTAACAAATTTTTTCCTCTTTTAAGTTTGAGTTATTTTTGTGTTCCCTTTCGTTTTGCAAGAGGCCACCTAATTTTGGGTACCAACATTGAGAAGTCCAAAGTATCTTAACTGCCAATTTAGAGGCCTATGTTCACCTAAAATGTCCTAATTAACCTAAGTGAGAGAACAGATGGAAATAATAAAAGGACAAAAAAAAAATGTTTTCTACAAAAACATTATGAAATACGAATATACATGAACAAAGACACTGGTATTAGAGTTGTATTTCAATGTTCATCTAGGCAAAAAATAGCAATGTACGCACACAGGAACTACTCTAGTTCCATAAGTTGGTTGTAGATCCCCTTGTTTCTTTACTTTCTTTCTCCTTTTCTTGCCATATTTTGAGTTATATGAAGCCCAGAGAGGCTTATGCTTAAGAATAGAATCAGTTGACTCTTCAGATTCATCCATCCAATTCTGGCGGAGGAAATATTTACTCGAAAGAGATGGGTCAGCAACTTCAAGCAATCCGGCAGCAAGCACATCAGCAGAACGTTCCATCTCCTGTGAAATGATGTTTCACATCCATATGTAAATAGCTTAGAAAGTAATAAGATTAATTTGCATTTAGCATCTTACATGCAGATCTATTTAATTCAACTATGTGGATAGTGAATCCTGGAAGTTCTTCAGAAGATCGTTTAGGGTAGTAGGATAACATGAGCAGCACTATGCCTACTAATCATTTCAAATTTGTATAATTAACAAAAGGGGTTACAAAGTGATACTCATGATCTACAAATTTATAAGGTAAGTACAATGTTTTCAATTAGTTACCCCATGAAAGGTAAGAAATCACATTGCCCATGCCAAATCATATGAAAAATTAAAGACAGTAGATTTAAGAAATAAAGATTACAAAGACAGCCCTTACTTCTTTTAAAATAGCACCATCCAGATATGTCTTGGTATGAACATGGAAACGGCCATCATTCTTGGTTTCCTGCAGGGAATGTCCACGCTTAGCTTTTGAAACAGCAATTGCCAGCTTCTCATGACGATGTAGTGAATGAGCACCCCCAATAATTACTAATTCTTGCCCATCATGAAGCATACTTTTCACCTGACGAAGGAAAAAAATGTAACAGTTGCATGTTGTTCCTACTGAATTACACAAACCTCAATTCTAGAAAGTCCATAAAACAATGTTCAAACTGAGTTAACAAGAATAGGTAGTCTACCAACGGAAATTACAGACCTCTGCTTCAATTTTTTCTATGTCAATACTGTAATTATGGCCCTTTTCCATAATGTTGTATCGATTATGATTTTGCAACACCATTATCGGTATAAGCAATCTTGAAGTAAGATCAACAGTTTCAAACCTGAAATCAATCACAATACGATTAAACTCTGGTGGTCGGTCAGCAAAGCATTAACGTGCACTTATTATATGCATGATAGATACAAAACGGAAAGCCTAACACATAAAATTATTGAATACTAAAGGAAAGAATCATCAAAGGGGCATAAAAGGAGGATAGCAATGTTTTGGAGATGAAAATTAAGGTTCACATCATACCACGGGTTTCAAAGTTTAAGCAAGTAGAACCCATCTTACAACGTTATGGGGACATAAATTAGGATGCCATGTAAAAATTCAAGCTAGATGGTTGAAATGATTCTGCATAAGCAAAGAGCCTGTGAACTTGTGAAATTCAAGCAGAAAACAATAAAATCAGCTAAGTTAACAGTCAGTTTTGTCGGGCAGGAAAATTCCAACAAAAGCATGCAAAGATAATTATCAAAAGATTGGATACCACCAGTTGAAAAGAAAATTATCAAAAGTTGCATAAAGAGGTTTGGTTATGTGAGAAAGTAATAATATAAAAGACCTCACTCTAAAGAGTTTTACAGAATTTTAGTTTGTTATAAAATCCAATGGATCCTGTATAGTTGACGACCCTACTGATAACATCTCCAATGGCACAACTAAGGTAGGGTTGCTTAACTTTCTTTGGATGGATCTACTATTACGGCAGAGATGCAACTATGTCAAAACTTATAATGAGTCTCAAATAATACCCTACATATCCATACACTTTATTATATTTGCTTTTATATAAGACTAAGCAGTTACAGACCACAATACCTCACATCAGGTGCAATAACATGTTCCACCGTGGTTGATACCAAAGAAGCAAGCTGCCCAAGAAAAATATCATTGCTTGATTGTTGAGAAGTTGTGCTCATCAACCTATCAGGATGAATCACATTTCGTAATCTAGGCAAGGTTCTAGTACAGACACTTCCTTCTTCAGCTTCAATCTTGCCGTAAGTGCAAGGCCCTGCTGAAAGATCAATCACCACAAATCTGAATGAATAAATAAAAAAAGTCAGGCTAGCATATATGTATGATGTATGGGCTAACCAAAATTTATTTTAAGATACAGAATATACAATGAACCCACTTTTTGCCAGTAAAGAGCTACCAACATTTACTTTTTTGAGAGAAGAAACTGAAGTTTAAAGAAAATAGTTCAGAATCAAACTGTTTTATACCTGCCAGAGCTTAGCCAAACTTGAGTTGCTCCCCCACCATTGTAATGATAACGATAGATGTAATCTCCTTCTTGTCTTTTCATATCTTCCTCAGTTAGGTCAGGAATTTTCCCATACATTAAACCATCAAGATCAATTTCCTTATTTCTAGGATCTAGTCTCACCTACAATAAATTTTAAATTAGTAGTAAAAAAGATAAAAGCAAATACACTTGCCACAATAGTAGGGAAATATGATACTGAACAAGCACGAAGAATGAAGAACTTATCCAGTTACTCATATTTCCTACCTTATTAGTCAGTGAAAGCCAACTTATCAATTACACTACTTGTTACAAAAAGTTAACATAAAAGTTAACATGGACTAAAGTTATAGAAGTCAAAGTAAGGCATATCAAACATTTGGCAACTAAAGGTATTGATTATACCTTGTCAAAGTTTACAATAAATATTGCACTTGGCACTGGTCTATCCATCTCCGTGACAGAAGATCCCACACTGTCCATGTCAAATATGTAGGAGTACAGCCTTTGAAATACTGGCTCCACATCAGTTGCTTCAACTTCAAACAAAGGAATCTCCCTTCCAAATTCAGTCTGAAAGTTGTGGTAAACTTTATAAAGTGCCATATCCATTAAAAACAAAAGAAAGTGGCATTAAAAATAAAGGAAAAGACAGTTACCTCTCTTGCTTTTCCTGCAGGAACCATTGCTTCTTTCAGTGCTCTCTCAAGCGCTATCAGTTCAGGTTGCCCAGCCTACAGTGAGGATTAAATTTTAAATTATTAAGGTTCATATGTAACAGTTTGTACAAGATAGGCTATGCAAAGAAACAGACAATAACATTAAAAAAATGTCTGACTATAGAATGCCCTTCAGCAAAAATATAAAAATGGAACAGTCTTAAATAATAATCCATAAGATTTTTAAAGTACAGTTTGATTCTCATACAAAGCCAGCTGGTGATTTTTAACTAGGCTAATTAAGTTTATCTAAATAAAAGCACATTGTTCCTTCCTCTCTCGGCCTTACAAGGCTGGGCATTCAATCTTGACTATTTTTTCTCAAGTATAAAAATACGGACACGATCAAACTTCCATTTATATGGTTTGAAACCTTTCTTTGGGTCTATTTGTATAAATTTCTCCATACATACTAATAAAATTGGTTTATATATAAGTTAAAAATAAGTTTTTGGAGAAGTTAATATGAAAAAGCTTCTACAAATTAACTTATTAATAAACTAATTTTAATTTATAAAGAAGTTTATTTCATTTTTTTTCTTACTATTTTCATCTCGTATAAGTATTTATTTAAGTTTAATCAAACAAATATTTCATAATATGCAGCTCAAGAAAGCACTAGGATGTCCTCCAATTACCGTGTTCTGCATTTCAATATTCCACGACTAAAACCTATGCTAAAATTATCCAATTCCAGACCAAAATATCGGTAATTAGATCTCTACTGATCCGATTAAACTAGTAGCAGACTCTACATAGTCACAGATAAACAATAATCACATGCTCAAGCTAGGAACTATATTTCACTTTCAAACCAATTCAATCAACAAGCAAATAGGGATAATCAAGCAACAATAACATAAATAGCGTACAAGGCATCCTAAACGTGGCTTACATGAAACGCGTTATAGACCATGTGATGCTCAATGTCAAGTAGCTCCCCAGTCTCTAGACACGAAGGTCTGTGAGCTGGAAAGCTAGTTTTGAGAAACTGTTCCAATCGATGCGCATCGATATTGTATCTGTAACCTCCGTCTCCGTTGAAACCAATCAGAACCACGTTCACTTCGAGCGGAACTTGAAACGGAACCTACACGAACCACAAACACGTGCATTCACACATCAGTTAATTAGACTTTGATGTTGGCTTCAATTTGACGGAAAACAAGGTGACCTCAGCGCGAGAATGGAGCATGCGGCGGACATCGGATCGGACGCTGTCGCGGACGTCGTGGAAGGCGCCGTGGTGCCACTGAGGGTGGCCGGTTTCTCTCCTGAAGGGTTGCGGCGCGGACTCGGACTGAGTCAGGAGAAGACTCAGCAGGGCGAGTAGGAATGAACGAGGCGCCATTACCTCGCTCGGGTTTGTTTATTCGGTTCAGGAATGTGAGAATTGATAGTGTGATTGAAATAGGAAAATGTGTTGCTGCAACAGCGAGACTTTGAGGAATTAATTAGGCCATGGATGAAGCTCGCACAACGACGCTGCTCAGTGTGCTTCAAAGTCCACTCGCCCGGACTCGATGCCGGCCAATGTCAACAACGCATTTCCTACCGTGTCCGCGAACGCAATTCTAACCATGCTTTGGGTCCAATTCCATGTTTTCAGTTACCGGCCCAAATATTTTTTCCTTCTTCTATTCCATATCGGGCCCATTTCGTTCACAGTCTGTACAGAACTGGGCTAGGCTAATAAAATATTACCAAAAATCCTGACTAGACCCAATTCAAGTTTTGACCCATGATGAGTCGGTCCAAATTAGTCGGATTGGCCCCATTCGATGGTTTCAGCATCGCGATACCCGTTCCTCCTACACGTGCTTACAAAAAAAAAACTCATATCAAACCATATATCAAATAAATAACAACTAATTTTTTTTATTAACTAAGATATAATAAATTTAATATATTTTATCAAATGAGAAGAAAAAAATAGAGTTTATTGCGAGAGATAGATAAAAGAGTTTAATAGTAACCGTTGATAAATTTTGGGTCATGTATATATATGATATATAATTTAAATGTGTTAGAGTCATTATTTACTAAGCCAAATAATAAAGTAATCTGATTAAATTAAAATTTTGACTAAAAACATATGTCATCAAAATAAAATTGTGTAAAGACCATATAACAATTTCTAATTTGATGAAAGATCAAATTAAAAATACTAAAACTTAAGTAATTAATATAATTTTGGTTATTTAAAAGAGTCATGGTCCCCTTCTAGGAGCACACACATAACGTAAGTGTCAGTCTCTTTCCTTTCTTTCTATCCTCATCAAGAGAGAAAATCCAGAGAGAAATACAGGTATTCTCCAGGTGAAAGATCATAATATTAATAGTGTTCTACAATGAGTATCATCACTATAACTAATTCAGGTACGCTTTCGTATTTATTCTATAATACACTATCACATTCAGATCTATAACATGTTTATGTTTATGAATATTATGAGATTATGTTTATGTTTCATTCTTAAAATCAAAATCAAAATAATTATTAGTTTTTTAACAATTATATATCAGTTGATTTATGTCTCTCTTTTGAAATTAAATTTAAGAATTCATATTTTAATTAATTTACAAAACCCTTAATCCCTAATTAAAAAGAAAAACCCCAAAATTGAGAATATTAGGATTTCTTAAAACCCCAAAATTGAGAATATTAGGATTTCTTAAAACCCAATTCTCGACTGGCAATTTCCCCGCACACCACATTCTTTGCTTCACCCAATTTGCGTTGGGATTCCTAGCGTAATCAAACCAAGAATTGATCCCTCGAAATACCTACAAGTTGTTCTGCGTTAAGGATTATCGGAAGCTCCGACATCGGTGCAGACTCAAAGTTGATCGAGGCGCTGCTGAAGTTGGTAATCGTGTCGTCTTCGTAGTGCGGAAAAGTGGAATTGGAGGAAGCTGCACGACGCGACTCTGGTGTGGCTGGGGAAGGGAGTAGCTAGGTTTAGAAACACCGTAAGGATGATTTGTAGCGGCGATTGGGGAAGCGCAACCAAGGCCATGGTGGTCGAGTTAGGTCTCACGGTTCAAGGTTAGGGATGGCAAAACGGGCCAGCCCGCCCTGTTTTGGCCCGCCCCGCCTTTGGCCCGCCAAAAGCGGGACGGGGCGGGCTGGCCCGATATAGTCATGACGGGTTGTAGACCTTGGCCGCCCGCCATAGGCGGGTTGCAGGCTGGCTCGCCATAATTTAGAAAAAAATATTTTTTTAAAATAAATTTTTTAATAAATTTAATAATAAAATTATTATTTGTTTGTCAATAATTTAATATATATATATATTATTTCAATTTAATAATATAAATCAATACATTATTTTAAGAAATTATAATTTAGAACAATAATCAATTTTACATAATAATAAATAATAACAAATATATATATATATATATATATATATATATATATATATACGTTAAACTTATAAAATTTATATTTTTTATATTGAAAAATTCAAATACCTATATCTTTTTTATTTGATAAAACTTCATATTATTCTTGGTTGAGTAATTTTTACACCAATAATTCAAGTAATAAGGATAAAAATAATTCAGTGCTTAGGATAAACAAGGAGAACGAGGAGAGAATGTTATGTTTCAGGAAGGAGAATATTTTCTATGAGAATAAAACTTTTTTAATTCTCTTTTTAAAATTTTTAACTTTATATATTATCTTTATAATTAATTTTATTACAATAAAAAATTATTTTTTTATTAATTAGGCGGGTCGTGGTCGGCCCACCCCGTCCCGCGGGTTGGCCCGACGGGTTGGCGGGCTTGGCGGGGCGGGCCAAAGCGGGCTGGTGGGCTGAAAACACCAACCCGCCCCGCCATATTATAGCGGGTTGGCGGGCCAGCCCACTGGGCCTAGCCCGTTTTGCCATCCCTATTCAAGGTAAAGGAGAGGTGGTGGAGGACCAGACAATGGCCGTAGGGGTTGCTTCTCCTCTGACGTGATTCCTTTTCCCCTTCTGCGAATGCACCTCCTGGTTTTGGTCATCTGCATGACTTCCATCTTCTGTGCTTCAGAAAGTTGCTGCTAAATCCAGAGAATTTGAGTTACCAGGAAACTATTTGCGTTGGTTCCTTAAGTGAACTTCAAGATAAAGCACGAGAATTGATGCATCGATGTTAAATTATTCATTATTTTGATAAGCAACCATTAAACAAGGAAGTTGGCGTGAAAATACTCACTCAGGTATATTATGGCACAGGCGCTCAGGTCACAATCTAATCGTGGCGCTTGGACTTGTGTTACACTCTTAAAGATATGGTAAGGAGTATGATTTGTCATTCTACATTACCGAAATCACTCCGGGGAGAGGCACTAAAGATGACAACTTATATTCTAAACAGAGTACCAACTAAAGCAGATATCAAAACACCTTATGAGCTTTGGACTGGGCAAAAGCCTAGTCTAAAGCATTTTCATGTGTGGGGTTGTCCAGCTGAGACAAGGCATAAGAAAAATGAAAAGAAATTAAACTCCCGAACAGTAAGTAGTTACTTTATTGGTTATTTTGAAAGATCCAGGGGATATAAGTTTTATGATCTCATATTAAAGACAATTTTGAGACGATAACTGCTACGTTCTTTGAGGATATTGAGTTTGAGGGGAAGAATAAGATTAAAAACTTTGTCTTGGAGAAAGAATCAGTAACAAGTCCAAAACGGATTCAAACAGTTACTTTTGATAAAGTAAGTTCAGATTCTCTACAAGACATTGATGATGAACCTCATATTTAAGATGATTTGGCTGTTCGTCAAGAACAAACTCAAGATCCTCAAGAATCTGTGCATAATGAGCCGGGGATACTCTAGTTGCTAAGGGAGACAAGTTTAGTCTCAATCAGTGCCCAAAGGAGAATTTGGAAATTGAGGAAATGCAGAAGATTCTCTATGCATCAGCTGTAGGGAGTTTAATGTATGCCCAAGTATGTACGCATCCAGACATAACAAACATAGTTGGGGTTCTAGGTAGATATTTAAGTAATCCAGGAATGGACCATTGGAAATCAGCAAAAAGGGTCATGAAATATTTAAAGAGAACAAAAGATTATATGCTCACATACAGGAGGTCAGACCAGTTGGAGATCGCTAGGTTTTCTGACTCGGACTTTGCAGGATGTCAAGATAGTTTGAAATCCACTTCAGGTTACATTTTCATGTTGGCAAGTGGTGCGGTTTCTTGGCACAATGTCAAACAAATCCTTACAACTTCATCCATTATGGCAGCAGAATTTGTAGCATGCTATGAGACATCAAATCATGGAATATGACTGAGAAATTTTGTCACAGGGCTGCAAATTGTGAAAGACATGGAAAGACCACTTAAGTTATATGGTAACAACAAATAAACTGTATTGTTAAGGAAACCGTACATAGTAGATAGATTTCCACAAAACAATTAGGGACAACCTCTATGATAGCAGACCCTCTAACTAAAGAACTTCCGCCCAAGGTATTTCATGAACATGTTGCTCACATGGGTGTTTTACAGTTTGAGGAATTTGTAGTTTAGTGGGAGTTAGTCATTTTCATATATTTTATGTTCTATGTTTAATTTTATATATGTATACATTGATTTTTTAGATATATTTCGTTATTTATAGATATGCAGTTTTTTCGTTCATTCATTGCACTTTGTACATTAAGGTTATTATATCGATCTCGATAAGTTAAAGTTTGGACCAATTGAAAATAGACGTGTACATATTACCTTCACGTAATTTTCATGCTACACATTTCATGATGAATCCATGTCATTTGGTTATGTCAGGATTAATAATCATTGTTGGTTTTAGTTGCAATGATGCAATGAAAAGCTGGTTTGGTTTTATATCCTGATATGATCAATGGACGGAACTTTTAGAGTATGCTAAAGGAATATAATGACAATTTTGAGTTTATAAAGTCTAACACATTTGTAAGGTTGTAAGGATATATATATTTGTGACCAGTGGGAGATTGTTGACAAATTTTGGGTCATGTATATACATGATACATAATTTAAATGTATTAGGGTCATTATTTATTAAGTCAAATAATAAAGTGATATGACTAAATTAAATTTTTTGTTAAAAGCATATGTCATGAAAATAAAATTGTGTAGAGACCATAGAGCAATTTCTAATTTGATGAGGGGCCAAATTGAAAATACTAAAACGTAATTAATTAATCTAATTCTAGTTATTTAAAAGGGTCATGGTCCCCTTCTGGGAGCACACACAGAATATAAGTTTCAGTCCCGTTCATTTCTTTCTATCCCCATCAAGGGAGAAAATCTAGAGGGAAATACAAGTGCCCTCCAGGTGGAAGACCATAACATCAATAGTGCTTCTACAAGGATATCATCATTATGACTCACATTCACTCTATAAGCATGTTTATTAGTATGAGATTATGTTTATATTTAATCGTTAAAATAAAAATCAGGATAATTATTAATTTTCTAACAGTAACCATTAATTCAAATCTATGTTCAAAATTATATTACTCATTATAATACATGACCCAAATCATAGTCTCGATTGAAAATAGCAAATTTAATTTGAAACACTATATAGTGAGAGAAGATTTTATAATTCAGCTTAAAACGTAACAAATACATTAAATGTGACATAGACGTGTGAATATAATGAACGTAATATAGACAATGGACTCAATAGAAATTAGAAACGCTGCAGAAATTGTGGACGCAACGGAGGCAGGCAGGCGTGGCAATTATGACGATAGATGCAACGGATGTGACAATAAACGCAAAGGAGGCACAAGTAATCTTGAATGAATGTGACTTATAGTAGCGCAAATTCAAGATAACATGAATAAGCAAAATTAGATTTTTATCAATTTATTAATTATTTTAAAATTTAAAATGTATTATAGGTTATAGGACATCCATCATACGACTCAAACTCATTTATTATGGATTAAGGAAATCAAGTTTATTTGGACCTATATTTGATTAAAAAAAATCCTAATAAGGGATTGACTAAAAGGTTATAACTCATACTTTCACCGTTAAGTTTTTGCTTAAATTTTACTTCAATGGTATTTTGATCCACATAAAAAACAAGAAGAAAATGTGAAAATAGAAAGAAAACTAAGAAATGTATGTTCTTGGAGTTTTATTTAAGAGTGATATAATTACTATTAAATCCTCTTATTTAACTTCATGATTAACTTTTTTTCTCATTTGATATGTCAACAAATTTGACAAATCTCATTTGTTTTTTATCAACTAATGAATAATTGACCAAAATTTTATATTTAGGTACGTATTTCTAACAATTTACTACTAATATACAAAAATATTTATCGGGCATATATTTTAATATAGTTAATATCAAATAAAAATTGAATATTTATAATTTGAAAAATATTAGTTCTAAGTATAACTAATTATAAGTAATAGCACTAATATTTATAGAAATAATAATTAAAAATTTTATTTAACGCTCTAAACTTTACTCCTATAAATAGACTCCTTAAACTTTTTGTCTTAATTGATCCAAACTCCATCCCATTTACAATTACATAAAAATTACCTTGAATTTTTATTTCGTTCCGTTTGATCCTTGAATTTTACTATTTTTTTTATCACATTTATATTCCTTTGTTTTAAGATATAATTTTTATTTTATTTTTTTGTCTTATTTTTTTATTATTTAATTTTATTTTATTATATTTCAATATATAAAAAAATAATGAAATACTAACAAATTTAGTCAATGTTGAAATTTAATTAATACACTAAACTCAAAGAAACTTATTTTGAAAAGTTCATTCGTTTTAAGGATTAAATAAAATTAAATTAAAATTTTAGATGTCTATTTACAAAACAGTAAAATTTAAGGATTTATTGGATTAAATAAAAGTTCAATGCGTCTATTTGTAAATGGGACAAATTTGACAACTAATTAAGTTAAAATGAATTAAACTAGATAGTCGTAAAAGAGAGGAAATTTAGGACCTAAACACTCCACCTCACATAATGTAACATTTTGGTGAAGCATGAATTAATTTTAAATTTAATCTGTATAATTTAACATCTTTCACGTCATAGTATTTATAAACATAATGCTGTCATCTGTTTCTCATATATATATATATGAAACGTGTTTTGTGTTAATAAGGCGAATAAATTGAAGGGGGTGAATTCTGACATTGAATCCATGCACAATGTCTTACTCTTATTTGTAACAAATATTTTTAAAGGCTCTACACGGTCTTACCCTTTGTGTCGTAAACAACATCAGCTACGTTAATGAAAAGTGAGGCATTATTTATGTATTGGGACAAATTTCGAATGTAACTCAAATGAACATAAGAAAGCATTAGTGTTACTTACTCCAATTGTTTTATTCAAGTATATGAAAATGAACCTGGGTTATATTAAACATAATAAGACAACACTGTCATGTTTTAATACCTCTATATAATTGAAGTTTCATTTTTTTAGCTTATTTTCGTCAGCAAAATGACACTTCGATCTCAGCTTGAAGATGATGTTTTTTAATCCGACTATAACAACTTGAGGAGGTGGTATTACATATGAATTTTCTATGTAGTTTGTCGTCAAATAATTTTCAAATTGAATTCAATCAACATACTGCTTGATTAGCTTATGTCCAGCCAAAAAATAAACAAATAAATAAAATCATCCAGTATTTGGGGGTAAAACTAAAAGGTTAGAAAAGGGAATAAGAAAATTGTGTTTTGATTTTGTTATTTATTTTTTCCTCTCGACAACAAATTTCTAATAATATGTTATAACTTAATAAATTGTGGTGCCTCAAGAATGATATCTGCGGGTAGAAGCGAAGTGTCACATAGGAATGGGCGTATCTTCTTCAGGTATGGCAAAAACCGGTACAAGACTGCTTACAGCTTACAAGGATACAAGTCAGTGATCGAGAGCGCTTCGAAGTGAAATTGCCGGGTCTAGCACTGTGCCTCTGGAAATAAGGTCGTGATTTAAGAATAAAACAATAACAGATATATCATCATGAAAATGGCGTCGAACCTTCTTGTCAATCTTGCGCAGATCTGAATACCTCATTTCTCGTTTTCTTGCTGCTTCGTGGAGGGCAGCCTTGATAAGTCTCTTTGCACTACCCTGCATGCACTCGCACAATTTCAGTACCACTAAAATCCAACGCTGAGAAATATGTTACTCTTTTTTTATATACTTACCTACAGACACAAGTAGCAGATAAAAATTGAATCAAATATCTCTTCAATAGCTTAAAATCAACTTATATATCTCAACTTTTGGGAAAATTAGATAATTTCTTTAGTCAAAGTTAAAAGCATAACTTGATTTAAGTTTATAGGAAAAAAAAAAAACTCGATTCATTTTGCCTTTCTATGCTCTTCTCATATAAAACATTATTCAAAGTCTTGAGAGAACATTAGCAGAAATTATTCAATCATAAATTGCAAAAAATAATAACTTAATGAAAGGAAAGAATGCAGGAAATAAACTCATCATTGGAATTGTACTAATGAATAAACTATAATAAATGATGATTAAAAAAAAAATTAAATATCATAAAAAGGAATAAGAACGAACAAATAGGAATTGTAAAGCTTATGACTCAGAAAAGGTACAGACAGATACTTAATCCATTAACTAATCATGCACTTCTACACAATCAAATAAACCAAAAGCAGTAATTTTAAATCCCTCATGTCAGAATCGGATATAGAGACGTGGTGGGAACTAAAAATGACATTTAAGGATAAAAATTGGAGGGGAGAATTTTCAAAATTTGTGCTAACCAACGTGTAATGAATATTATAGGTCCTCCACGTTTTACTAATGCGTGAAAACAGGGCTAGTCCTCATCCAAGTCTTTTAATCACCGGGCTCAATTTAAAAGAAGACCACTCCCCCTCCCCCACCCCACAACCATGCATTTCATGGCCATACGAGGAAAAACTAAAACAGGTAAAGTCAATTACGGAAATGAGTACAAGGAAATCGAAACATGGGAAAAAGAAACATACCGCATGTGGATTGCTGTTTACAATATCCACAGCTTTTTCATTACTCAAGTGCTCCCATAAACCATCTGATGCAAATATAAGGAAGGAATCATTTGGTTGGAGAGGATGAGAAAGAATACTGGGATTAGCACTCAAGATGGGCATGTGCATCGGTTCAGGAAGTCTGAATTTTGCATTAAGTGGTTCCCGGTTAAATTGAGCATGTTTTAAATATACGTCACCTATAGATCTAGAAACCTGCACCAAATACAATCAATAAAGTATTTATGTTATATTGTCAAACATTTTGGTGCGTGGAAGTAAAACAAATAAAAAATAAAATAAAATTATAGCAGCAGAGCCTTGGGATAACTTGTGAACCAATAATAAACAAAATGTATTACACACACACACACACAATATGACTTCAACAATAAAATACTGCAGAGAATAAAACTGGAAAGCATCTTGTGTGTCTTTCATATTACCATTGTAGTAATTTTTAACACAATAATGAAATACAAATCAAATGCAAAAAATTGAATATTGAATATTATATGCCAAATATAAAAAGTTTGCTTCCATTTATATGGTTTGGTTTTAAACCACACAAATCAAGTACTGAATCGTTAATTACATGGATGAACTTCTTTCTTTAATACACGCCCAAAAACAGGCGCCGCATGTCACAATCCCTTATAAAAAGACGTGCATTAGGGATTTGGTACATACACTCAAGAATACGGTCTATTTTATAGAACAGATTACTTGACAAGGGAATTGGGGGAATTACAATCTTATTGAAATACACGTTTTTTTTTAAGAACTCTGGTGGAAAACAGCCGAAGATGAAGATAGTGCAAGAGTGAGGAGTAAGTAGCTTCTTAAAAAGTTTGACGGGGTTGATAATTCATCTTGCATGTATATTAAGACACAATACAAAATGTACAAAAAACAGTAAAGGAATAATTATTATCTACAACTTTGGCTTTATGTCTTGGGTCTTTTGATATACATGGATTCAGAAAGCATAGACCAGATGTAGCATTCAATTGTAACAAACACACGAATAGCCTTTAGCTTCCAACACCTTTCCGTGTGAATATCTACGTCTCCTCTGTATAGCACTTTCAAGAATGGAAAACAATAAAGAATATAATAAATGAATTAATAAATGTTTGGACAGGTTCACGCTAGCAATGCTTTTTATATGAGGAAGATAAGAGGTTCTGGCTTCTGAGAGGACACAAGTTTAAAAATTACCTGAATAATGCCTTTTACTCTCCACACTCCATGTTTGAGGACAACAATTTGAGGATCATGAGGGTGTAATTCTTTAAGCTCCTGTCTAACAGACTCAAGATTTGCATTGTGTTCCGTGGACAGCTGAATTGCAGCCATACCTCCAGTGTTGCCAACTTTCTTACCCAATACAACACGGGAATCGCCAACGTTTGCCACATAGAGTGTCTGCTGAAATATCACTCCAACTAGACAACAGGTCCCAGCACTTGCAATTTGAGGTCGAGCATTCCAGGAACCTGACACAAGGGCCGTGTACCCCTCTTCCGTTTGGCGAAATGCCCTTTCAATTGTCTCCGTTGTCACCTCCCCGCGTGACTCAGCCGATGTTGCTGCACAGACAAGAAATCTAAGACAGCTATTATAACAATCGTTACTTTACCAACAGAAAAAGACAACATGGAAGAACCAACCCCCAACACTCATACCCCATGAAGGAACCAAAATTGAAGGCATAATGCTCCACCAAAACAATGGGCCTTCAACACAAAAGTCAATGCCCCAAAACACTTTATTAATTAATTACAACATCATGTACTACCAAGGAATCGCCAATCCGTTTCCATTAGAGGAAAGCCAATAAAAAGTTACACATAATTCACCCATTAAATCGATTCATAATAAAAAACGAAAGCAATCCATAAAGGAGAAAAGGAAAAACTTGCAAAAAGTATCTATCCATTGCCCTGAATGTTCAACTGTACTTGGTTCCTGGGAAATCTCAGACTCAAAAGACTAACACGCGGAAAATAAAAGTATAAAAAACACTTTTAAACAAGGTCCACGGAAAAGCAAATTAATGAAAGCCACTGGTAACAGTTACTACCACTACTACTCGTGATTCATGAAGAGACGATCATACTAAAAACGTGGCCACATTCAATCCACACAGCAAGAATCGTGAAAGCGAATATATAAAGTGTGTCTATAAAGTGAGGGCTCCGAATGAAGAACCTTGAAAATGGCGAAACAAGTGATCGCAAACGTATCTGGAGGCGTCGGGTCCTCCGTGACCATCGTATATGCCAACGAAGGTGCCAAGAGGACCGGACTCGATCTGGCTCTGGTCTTCGAGAACCTGGTTGGCCTGAACGACGGCCATGGAGAAATCGCCGGAGGCATATTTCCCAACGTCCCGGAACCACAGTAAGCCGTCTTTGCCTTCTCTCCCGGCGAAGGTGCTCCCGATTACTCCAATGGAATCGATTCGATCAGCATCACGCCCGAACGGCTTCCAACACAGCGAGAACAGATTCATCAATGTCAGGAGCATACCACATCGCTTGGAAACCCTAACCCAAACCCTAACGCCCCCAACGCCGAAACCGCCAAGCTCGCTCCGATCCTCCGAATCTGAGTGGGGAAGGACGGTTTACGCGAAGTTTATGAAGGGGAAAAAAGAAGAAGAAGGGTGCTAAGGCGCAGGGTAAGGAGGGGGCGCACGTTAGCGTTGAGTGGTGGCGGGGTGTGTTCGGTGGTAGAGGAACACGAACGGGCTCATTCTCTTGTGTGGAGAAATGGTGTGGGGAAGACTCTGTTTGCTGATGTTATTTTCAATGCCTTCGCCTTTTTCGTTTTTCATATAACTAATTTGGATACTTTACTTGGGTTCAACAAACACACTCACTCTTGTGCTTCTTTGGGTTATGTAATTCACCATAGTTTTATAGTATTTTCGGCAACAGGTTAAAGTAATATTTAAGAAAATAATTTAAAAAATAAAATTTTATATATATATATATATATATATATATATATATTACTTTTAGGTATTATAGAAGTTTTAGAGTTTGTTTTTTACTTCCTGTTCTTCCGTTCTTGTCATTATATTTCTGGCCTTTCAACTTGGACTAGGTTTTATTTTGCCTAAGGATGTAAATCATGCCTGCTGATATGAATATCCTCATCCATTTTGTTGAATTGAAAAAAATACAAGTGTTTGATTAAATATATATCAATAATATTTTTTTATTATAAGTATTAATTGAATTTTATTATGCAGTATAAAATTGTAGAGTGTCACATGTAGTTAATGTAGATAGAGAATCTTAATTTTGGATGTTTTTCTGGGCTAGTATTTTCAACATGCAGGCTGCACTAATGTAGATTGAAATAAGATTATCCCTTTAAAGAGATTACATAATATTCATTATTATTTTAACAATTTACATATATATTATTGCAATAATTATTATTTATTTTATGTTTCATTCAAAGAAAATAAATTTTTGTAATAACTAATTAAATATTTGTAATAAATTTGTAAAAATTGAATGATGTAATTGTTCATTAACTATTTATTTATGAATTATTAAAATTTTTTAAATTATATATAATTTGAGACGGTTTTATATCTATTTCATATTTTTTTTAACTAATTTTTATTTATAAGTGACAAATATTACAAAATAAAAAAATATAAATTAACATTTTTTTACATCAATTTAGAAATTAATCATTGTTGAAAAAGAATATTTAAAAGAACACCAAAAATTAGTTTAATCAAAGAATAATTATTCTTATCAAATTTTTTTATTTATTTAGCAAATTATGTTCATATCTATTTGCTTGGTCTTTGTTCCTTGCATAGTGCTTTGACAATTTGCAAAAACTTGTGGAGAAACACATTCCAATCACTTTTTTGTGTTTTCTGTATAGTTACATCTTCTTTGACTGAGTTTACAACAATTTTCTATTTTTCCTCTTTTAAGCATGGTTTATAAGCTTTCAAACACATTTAAAAGCCTTTGGAACTCCTTGTATAATCTTTGAATCTAGGTTTGGTGCACAAGAGTGAAAAGAAAAGTTATCAAAGTATAAAATTTGAGCACATCCTTAGCATTAATTTCCTATTTTAAAATTATTTTCAGTTTTTATTCTTAATAGACGGTGGTTGGATGAGAAGAATATATAAAAATTATTTATAATTTTTATTTTTATTACTATAATATCAGAATAATAAATATATTTTTATATAAAAATAAATAATATAAAAAATATTATTTTTTTGTTAAAAAATATTTTAATTTTTTTAAAATTATATACAAATTTTTATAATTATATAAATATTAAATTTTAATTAAAAAAAATTCATTCATTTTTATATAATTTTTTCTTATAAGTATGTATATTTTTCACTTAATTTATTTTTTTTCCTTTAACTAACCTATGAGTGATAACAATTTATGGACTGTAAATATTACAAAAGAAAGAATTGTAATAAGAGAAGATAATTTACATTCATTGTTAATATTTATAAATCACATCATGAATTAATCAACATAAAAGCTAACTTATTATTGAAATTTAATATGTATAACAACTAAAGAAGAGAACAATAAAAATTAAAATATAGAAAAGTTTAAATATATAATTTAACCTTTACATCTTTCGTGCATGTTGCAAAATTCTTAACTATATTAGTTTCTATATCATTGTTATTCGATTTTTTTATTTTTTTTATTTGGTGTTTATATATATATATATATATATATATATATATATATATATATATATATATAGTGTATTCTCAATTTGATTTTTCTCTACACAAAAAAACTAAATTAAAAATGTATTAGAGGCTAAAGGTGTCTGACACAAAACCAATAATGTTTTATGTCTATACAAACAATTAATAAAACTTTATGTGTAGAGACTAAATTATGCATTTGTTTTTATTTTTTTCCTCAATGAGTTTTAGATAATAAGTATTAAAAGTGAAATTCTCAATCAATTACCGATAAAAATACAAATTTATATAGAAAACGTTATAAATAACTTAAAAAGTTAGATAAAGCATTAAGCTTTTTTCCGCTGTATGAAATATTGATCTAAACAATATTTTATATATTGCTATTCATAAAATTGATTTAGAAGTCTTATAAAAAAAATTTCAAAATTTGTAAAGTTATCCAACATCTAAGATCGGTTGAGAAAAACCTGTTCAAAAAATTCTTTATACATAAGTTTTCAGTATTATATGATATAAAAGTAAGAGATTTTCGAAATCCAACAAATCCAAAATTAAAATATAAAACTGATAAAAAAAAATTAAAAAGTGATTAAAAACGATGTTTTTATTAACAAAATTTAAAACCCATCAATTTAATTTTCTATTTTACAGTTAATAATTAATTCAAATCATATCGAAATCATAAAATATATATATATATATATATATATATATATATATATATCAAATTAAAATATAAAATATTTCTTACTGTAAACGAGTAAAGTAATTTTTTATAATTAGTTATTATATGAAAATAAATTAAATCTATAAATATTATAATTAATTATATATAATAATTTATAATATATTTATTTATTTAATAATTATTTTATTTTCATATATTTAACAATTATAATAACAAAAATTATTTAAATTAAATTATTAAAAATATTGATTTCATTTTATTAATATTTTTTAAAATTAAAATTGAATCAAATCTAACTAAATTTTATGTTTAATTTCAGTAATGTTTAGCAAAAACCAAACAAGTCCGCAAATACCGTTTTATAAAAGTAATTATACAGTAGAAGATTTGAGAAGTAGACGTTACTTCATTTTATCCTTCTTATAATAATCAAATTTTAATATTTTTCTTTAAGTTACTATTTTCTCGTATAAATATTAATTTATGAATTATTTGTCTTGTATGATCGATTAATAGTAAATGAAGTTCGAAAATTTCCTGAATTTTTAGAGACTAAATTTGTTTTTTTTACAAAGAAAGCATTTTGAAGACCTCATTTTAATATTTTGCATACATAGTCAATAAAAATTAAAATAACAAATATATTGAGAATGAAAAAGATTAAAAGAATTAAAACTCATAAAAATATTCCGAAACATAATAAAATGCGTCTCATTAATACTATAGGTAATTTAAAAAAAAACATATAATTTTATCAAAAGTTTAATACTATTATGTTAATTAACTATACAGAAAAATAATTCACTTGTTATTAGCATATAAGTTTAAAAAATATACCATGAGAGATTCATTTATTTAAAAAATAATAAAATTAAAGATTTATTTATTATTTTTATATAATTTAATAATCTAAAATAATATTTTATCTCATCTTATATATTAATAAAAATAAAATTAAACTTTTTTATTATTAAAGTATATTTTTTATTTTATCTCTAACTTAAAGTTGGATTTTTCTCTTTTATAAATTATAATTTTTTTTATTCAATTTTGATAAATAATAATAATAAAGAAATTTTAAAAAATATAATATAAGTTAATCATATAAAAAATATGACATTATTTTTAATTTAAAATTATAAATTTTTTTATTTATAAATTATTTAATTTTCTCATTTTTATTTTATAAGAGACTTTAATATATCTGAATTCTCAACCCATCAAAATTTGAAGCGGATGAAATTGAATATTGAATTTATAATATAGTTGGCACAACTAAATAACTATTCCACTGACAATCAAACAATTGATTGTATCAACGTATAACTAACTAACGGTCGGATTTAAAACCATTTCCCCATTGTGTTGTTTTTAATGATTAGATTTAATTTAGTCTAAGGAGAAATTAGTAGGTTTCATTTAATCGGGACAGAAGTCAAAAGTTATGGTATAACTAAGGTAATGGACATATCGTGAGATAATGATGGGCCATTAATCATCCAAGCAAAGAAAATGGACAAAGACGCACTTGCCTTTGTCCCTCTATCCACAACGTAAGTTTGATGCCAACACCTAAACAAGGATTTGATGTAAATTGCCTTTGCGTTATCATTATGTTTGGTGAAGTGCTTGAGATGAAATTAATTTTACATCAAAATTTTGTCTTTTATTTCAACATGTAGCACTACGGATTCCACATGGGATTCTTTAATGTTTCTTAGGTTAAAAAAAAAAAACAAATAATGACATCTAATTGTAACACAAATTTTATTCACATTATAAAGAATAAGTTCAAACACAATAGAAACTAGGCTTAAAATCCATTTTGGATCTTATTTTTACATTCCAAACTTGAATGCGGAACATCATACATCAAACCCAATATACATTTTTGAGAGATGGGAGAAGTACGAAGCAATGGAAGATTGGAAGCAAGTCCCCACTTCTTTGGCATCCACCACTTGACTTTTTTTCAGCTCATGATCGGAAACTATAGACAAGATAGACACAGCATACACTTTTAAGAAAAATCTAACGCTTTATCTTAATTCTCTTAATACAATTTATATAATAATTGATTATTTACTTAATATTTCAAGTTAAGTTTATATAT